GCCTCACAAGAGCGAAGCCTCAATCATTTTTTTGGGGTCCAAAATGAAGAACAAAGTTGCATCGGGCAAATTTTCTGAAGCACTTTAATTCTGGGTTTGGTTTCGCTGTTGGAGCCGGAGCAGGTTGTATTAGTGACACAACATCGCCACCTACCGCAATGTGGCTGCTACAGCAGGAGCTCCCTCCCCCTCACCCCTGCTTCTGACCCAGGGTCCGGGGGCCAGACTGGAGACCCCATTTGTGATTGTTATGTTTTTCAGCGTGATTACTAACTCCAGTTATTTATTAATAAGCCACCCTGCACAGGAACTAAAGTGCGGTTGCTTTCCACTCTTTGTCTCTGTTTGCAAACTTTTCCCACGCATTCTCTCAAACCCAAACTTATTTTATTAACGTCTCAAGACCCTCCTGTCCCACCGCGCCTTCGCTCATCCTCTTACCGCTCCACTCCCTGCCCTCCACCCCTCCTGTTCCCAACCCCCAGTTCAGGTCTAAATCCTTGACTGTCTAGCACCTTGGGGCGTCCTCCCGACATGAATGGCACCATAGAAATGTAATTATTTGTTGTTGTTATTGTGCCTCAACTACTTTAGTATCAGTCTTGAGCTTGTCTCCTTGTTACAGATTGACTGACCATCAGATCTAATCTTTCACTATTATCCATGCTCCTCTCAAGAGCTTTTAGAATTTCGAAGACCCCTCTATTGGGTTCTCTCCTAAACCTGTCTGTGTCCCAGTGAGAACAACCCAATTTTTTGGGTCCCTCGTCCAAAGCTGTAACCCCTCATTTCTGCAATTATTTTCTGTTCTAAAACATTACTTGGACCATTGATGATGAAGTATTTCAAATAATAAAGGGATTCATAAGGGTAGCTACAGAGAAACTATTTCCTCTAGGGGGAATCCAGAACAAAGGGGCATAATCTTACTATTAGAGCCAGGCCATTTAGGATTGAAATCAGGAGGCAGTTTTTCACCCAAAGGGTAGAGGAAATCTGGAACTCTCTCCCTGAAAAGACTGTAGATGCTGGATCCAGACTTGAGGAGCTGAATGGCCTACTCCTGTTTCTATGATGGTTTGCAAAGGAAAGTAAAATTTTAAAAGTGATTTTAATTCAAAAATAAATAATAACTCATATGAACTTATCATGTGTCCGTGACAGGACTCCGTTTAAAGGTACGGTGCCATTGAAAACGGGAAGGGCAAATAGACGTACAGAGTGAGGTGGTGGAGGGGGGGGGGCAGTGGAAATAGATTTTATTGAAAGTCATGAAATTTTAACGACTTTGTATCAGATGAGCTGGAGTGTCTAGTCTCATCTTCCTTATGGGCGGCTCATGTTTCCAGACGGGGACGATATAAAGGAAGAAAATCCAGTCCCTTAAAGGGAGGCATTTTCATTTGGTTAGGTTTATGCAAAATATATTTGATGGGAACGCAACACATTCCCCTCGACGACCCCAGACTCTTTTATTCGTAGCGCTTTCAGGTTTAGAGTTTCAGCAAAGGCAGATGGACACATGGTCCGTTTATGTCCTGTATGTCACCTCTGATGTAGCTCCTTATCAGAACGTCTGAAAGCTTTTCGCTCCACTGTTCAGTGGCTGTATCTGTGCAGAAATGTCTCAATAAATGGGTTTTACTTTGGGATGAATTTGGATGAGGGAGAAATGTTGGCCAGGACCCTGGTCTCCAAGATAGTGCAGAGGGGGATCTTTACTGCCAATCTAAGACACCAGGACAGGCAGAAGTGGACCCTCCAATTAACATCTCTTTCACAGACTACACCTCTGGTGCAGTGAAATCCGTTCTGCCCTGAAGTTGCCAGTCGAGTACGTGAGCTTGAGCCCTGGTGTGGGATGTGGGACTCAAACCCACAGTTAGATTGAGCCAAACCAACAGACAATACAACCAGATAATATACAGCAGTGAGGCTCAGATACTGGCCAGTGGAACATTATCCTCACTCTAGCAGGGTGTAATCAGCAAAGAAGGAAAGAAAGTAGGATTGGGACCAAATCCAGGCCAGAATTCCTACTGGTTTCTCACCTGTAGCTGGGTTTGCTGAGCAGAGTGACAAGCAGTTGTTGTCTATGTCACGTTTCACTTTCTCAACAATTCTTGACAGTGATAACTCGTTCCAACATTGACTAACTAGTGACCCCATCAAAGGCCGGCAGCCTCAGGCTCCCAAGTGTGTGTGTTTATAGAGAGCGAGCATTCCCTTTGCCACAACAAACACTTGGGGGACATTTAGAGACAGCAGGTGAGGGTTCCCAAAAACCCTCACGGTTCTTAGACTTTGAATGGTTTTGTTTCAAAAATGTAAAACCTCACACGAGTTCGGAAGCTTCATCAATCCAGCAATAATCCGGAAGCCGTTCCCCCGCACCGCGATTCTTTAAAAGAGAAGGCTCCCAAATCCAGAGGGAATTTAAGAGTTTGACTAAAAGCATGTGGAATTTCGGGCGCCTGGAATACTAGGACAAGGAATTGTGCAAGTGACCTTTCACCTCCATTGCACAAGCGAGAAAGTAAGAAAATATTAAGAGTCACTGTTATCTGGCTCGCAGAATGTTGCCCAAATTGAGATGAACTGTGTAGATGAACCGCAAGCAACAATGCCTCCTTTGATAGGTAGCCTCGCTAAGTGTGTGGCAGCTAAATGTACTATTTAATGGGCTGCTGTTCACTGGTGTACATCAGTTTTTCTCCTCCCGCTTTCCCGAGGCAGTGATTGAGGTCTGCATGAACCCAAGTACAAATCAATGACATTTTGATCCATCCATTGCAATGGCATCTTTGTTCCCGGATTGGCATCAGCCAGGCTGCTTTGAAATTGTATACAACAAAAGGCTCCAGTGATGGTGAACGACTTCTGCTTGTAGCAGCCCCCAACCCTCCCCCCCTCTCTCCCCTTATATTTGTCATTAGCCTTTTTTTTAAAGTTTTATTTTCTGCCTAAAGTTCTTAACCCCTGGAACACAGCCAGTCCGCGGACATAAATGACATGTGAACTGTTGCATTTTTTGTTTCGTTTGGAGTACAAACAGCGAGTTGCAAGTGAAATGCCACTCTATTTAAAGACCTAAATGAAAAGATAAGGGTCTCCCTCCCTAACCCTAACTCTAACCCGTCTCACACACAAACACAGCAACAGCACTGTGATAGCCGCAGAATAGACCATTGCACATTCTTCTACCCTCTCTATCGGGAAGAATTTCCGGAATTTTGTTTTTATTTTGAATGGCATGCACCGGATACTCAGGGATTGGGATAAATATTACCCAAAGTCGCGCAGATGCAGTTTAAGACGAATTCGATCGCTGTGTATTTGAGTAAATAGTGCCATGATCGTTGCCCTTCCTCCACCCGCCCCCCAGTAAAAACCTACTTCGAAATAATTAATCTTTCTTCTAAATTAGGCTGAATATTATTTTATATTACCGGAAATGAAATAAAGCTGACTGTCTGCCAAGGTGACAAACCAATTCTTAGGGCAGAATGGCTCTGACCAAGCTTTTACCCGTAGATTAATGCTGCCGGTTGTAAGAGAGCATAAAACGTGAAGGGGCTTGACAGCTGCTTACAGCCGTGGGACTGATCATGTTTTACTGCATGCTAATGTTCTCCCAGGACTGCAGGTGGTGATGGGCTGTCTAAAGTGTCTGTGCCTTACGGGCACGAAGGCCACAGAACCACAGCTTCTTACAGAAGGAAGACATTCGGGCCATTGTGCCTGAGTCGGCTGTCTGAGGGAGCTATCCATTGAGTCCCACACCCCAATCCTTTACCCCCCTGCCCCACCCCACCCACCACCACCTCCCCTCAACCCTTTTATAATTCTTCTTTTGAAAATACCGTCTAATTCCCTTCGTCCAACCCTGACACTGTGAAGCGCTCCCAGATGTTATTCTACGTGGAGTACGCTGTGTAAATACAAGTTGTTGCTGTGATCCTCTTTCTTAGCCTTAAGATGATTCTCTCTTAAAATTTAAGGCTTGGAAAACAGCTTTTAAGTGTCGTTCTTAATTTGAATTTTTTCTCCTGTGGATTGCAGTTTGTGTTGTTCAAGATTAAGCTGTTTAAGAATTGAAAGGTTGTAAGTGTATTGAGTAAATGTAATGTTAACATCTGCCTATTCGGGTGGATGTTAAAGGTCTCATCCATCTCTTCTATTGGCAATATATCAAATGGAAGGATTATTTTTATTAAAAAGAAGTTTTGTCTCCTGGTGACCTGGACAACAATCCCTCAGATAAAATTGGTCATTCACCTCGTGGCTGTTTGTGAGATGTTGTTGTGAACAAATTGGCTGCCACATACACCCACAAACAAGCAGTCACTATGTAAATCCTCTGAAGCTCTTTGAGACATCTTCCTGACATGAAAGGTGCTGTATTGAACGCAAGGATTATTATTATTTTTAAGGGCTTTTGCTGTGATCAATTGGTCACTTTTCTCAGAAGATTGAATGAGTTCCTGTCAACACAAATGGTCTTCTGGAAGGAGTAGGCTGAATGTTATTTCTCTTATGAAATGCTTGTTGGAGTCCTGTAGCGCAGTGGTTAGAGCACCCCCCTCGCACACGAGAGGACCTGGGCTTGATTCCTGGGAAGAGCAAAACGTTAGGCAATTTTCCACACGCCTCTTCTTTACCCAGCAGTAGGTAGGAGTTAGTCGATTGGCGGATTGGTTTTCTGGTGATAAAAATCCCTTCAAAAATATATTTTTTTAAAAATAATAATTTGGTCGCTTCAATCTGCTAATGTTTGTGGGACGCTGCTGTGTGCAATTGGCTGCCACATTTTGTCCACAAAATATACAGTCAATTAACTTTATAGTCTATTCTGTGAAGCGCTTTGAGATGTCTCGAAGTTGTGATTTGGCGCTATATCAAATGCAAGGATTATTATGCTCTTATATTCTGAATTGTTCATTTTCACCAATCAGAATAGTCCCTATGTAACAGTAAACCTTTTCCGATCAACTCAACAGGAAGCTATGGAAAAAATGGGAAAAGTCGGAAAAGTTATTTGGCCGAACCTGGAGGATAAAAGGTATTCTTACTTCTTCTACTTCCTGTTTCCACCCACCCTCACTTGTCACAATCTCTGGCCAGAAATGACCTGACTGGGATTGTTCAGGTGGGTCAGTAACTCCTCAATACTGGATACTTATGGTCAAGCTTTCAGCCACTTTATCCGCACTTCAATTCTCTTCCTAAATCCCTCCACCTCGCACCCTCTGCTTTCAAGCCATCTAAAAAAACAATGCCATCGACATTGCATTCAGGAGAAATGCCCTTCTCTTTTCCAATAGTTTCTTTAACTGAATAGGCGCATGGGATTTCAGTTTAATGTCTGATCTGGAGGACAGCACCTCCGACTATGCAGCGATTACTCCCCCCCAGCACTGCACTGAAGTGTCAGCCTAGACTGTGAGCTCAAAGTCCTGATGTGGGTGACTTGAGCCCACAATCCTCTGACTCAGAAGCATGAGCGCTACCGATTGAGCCAAGCTGACACCCGCTAAAAGTAGTTTATATTACGGTATTATTCTTCAGACACAAAGCAGAGTGTGTGATATTTGTCTGTTTGTTTGTAGGTTTTACGATAAGAAATATGAAGTTTTCTTGAAGCTTGCTGAGCACCAGAGGGAGTACAGGAATATTATGCAAAACGTCTGATCATCAGAGCATCAGCACAGGAAATGGGCCCATTCCACTGAACTACCTTCAGGGCTTTCCAACGGACATTAACAGTCAGGCTCCGGTCTCTGTGCCACAATGCCACAATCTGTGTATTGTACCATCCCCGACTGTTAGACAACAATTATATTCTGTAAAAGGCAAAGCACTGCAGATGTTGGAAATCTGAAATAAAAAAAACAGTAGTGGCTGGGAACACGCAGCAGGTCAGGCAGCATCTATGGAGGAAACGAGTTATCGTTTCAGGTAGATGATCTTTCATCTGACAAAACGTTAACTGGCTTTCTCTCCATTGATGCTGCGTGTTCCCAGTTGTGTTCGGTACTGTGCAGCCACTGAGTGTGTCACATCTGCTTCGGCACAGCTACCTGGCGGTGCAGCCCCCAAACCACTGCAAACTCTGGAGAACGTCCCACAGCAGCCGGAGAAACTGCCCGAGATTCACAAGCATGGATCCCACACGTCAGCCCGACCACAGCCAAGAGCTGCCTGAGAGCTCGGTAAGGGACAGCACGTGGGAAAGAGAGTTCACCCACTCCCCCCGGGCCCATCCCTCACATTCCCTGGCCCCACACCGCACATTAGACAAATTGTTTGGAATGTGGCCAACAGTTGACTATTAAAGTATTTTAAAAAGCTCGCTTGCGCTGTATTTGCTTTTTGCGTGTATTTAAGCGGGAACTTGACACAAGAACAATAACTTGCATTTATACAGTGCCCCTCACGCAGGGTAGTGTCCCAGAGCGTTTGAGGGAAGCACAAGGAAAAATGGAATAAACAGGCAGGGGTGAAGGGAATACGAACGCTGGAGCTTGTGTGGAATTCAAACACCGGCAAGGAATGGTTGGGACAAATGCCCTGTTCCTGTATTATAATCTATCAGTTGTGGATAAAATGCAGGGAAAAAATAGGACTGAATTCTTAGAATTTTCTACAATTTACTGTCATTATAAATTTGAGACCAAATTGCCGCACAGGCTGACCACAAGAAATTTGTATTCTTTGTAGGTTCCCTCTGTAGCCCGCGAGCATCCAATAATTGTAATCCTTGTATTCAACAACCGGGTTCCTACCTACTGCTGGGTTAACCGAGGCATGTGGGGTAAGGAAACTTGCCTAATGTTTCACCCTGTCTAGGAATCGATCCCAGGTCCTCTCGCTTGCGAGGCGAGCGCTCTAACCACTGAGCTATGGGCACAGTACGCTAACCACTACGCTAAACTCTCCCCTTCTTTGCTAATTTGAAAGTACAGTAGTTTGTTGTTTGAACTTCAACGACCAGCGATTAACAGTCTGATATCTCAAAATGTACTTTACATTTGTTTTTACTGGAATGTGCAATAAATAGCTGAGAGCATGTATTTCTGTACAGAATGCACTGCTGCTTACAGTTATAAACAAAACAGTGGTGGCAAATAGCAGATAAAAATAACCTTAAGAACCTATTTACAGCTGTAGATTTAAATGTTGTTAAAAGTATTTACAGAGTATTTAAACCATGATTGTTTGGCAGGACATTCTACAGAGACTCTGGTGTAAGGCTTCTGGCCAGACTGGCTCGTTCCGGCCCCATCTGCTGGCAGATATTGATCACGCAGATAAGGAGCAGGAACACCACCGCCAAATCATCCACTGCTCCCAGGATCGCCCCAAAGGCCTCGGGAATGCCATCGAGGGGGGAGGTGAGGCACAGGACGGCCCCGAAGGAACAAATGGCGATCCGCACGCAGAAGATCCACACCAGGCCGGACATGGTGAAGAGCTCCCTGAAAGCCATCTGGAGCACCAGGGGCGTGTCGTAGATGTAGTCTGCGAACTGAAGGCAAGGACGAGAGGTTTAAGAGAGAGCAGAGCAAAAACCAAACTAGACAGGGTGCTCAGAATGGGAAAGAAATGAGCGAACGAGCATCGGTGAGAATCGGAGAGAGTCAGGATTGGCCAACAATCCTGCAGAGAAAGTTGCTTGTTCATTTACTTCATTGGCACAAATTGGCCTCCGAGTTTGCCTTCCAAATTACACAGTCACTACACATTGCAGGAAAATCCTGTGAAGTGCTTTGAGACGTCTCAATGGTTTGATAAGGCCGTAAGATATAAAGTCGTGCAGAATGGTTCAAAATTCGTATTCAGTCAATTCGAAAACAGGTTCTTTTTAAGAATCAGGGAAAAATGCCTTTCAAAGTAAGATGGGATTGAAGGCTGTTCCTCAATTCTGTGCAATCTTAAATTTTAAGGCAAAACAGTCAATGTGACTTACAGGCCTCTGACTTTAATAATAATAATAATAATAATTCTTGGATTTGATCTAGCCCCTTATCACATTGTTGAGACATCTCAAAGCGCTTCACAGAATAGAAAGTGGACTGGCTGTAGTCCATAGCGCAGCCAGTTGCGCTATGCAGTGTCCCGCAAACGGTGGATTTTAAGTATGTTTCATCAGAGAGGAATAATTAATTCAAAATTTGTTGGTTGGGAGGGTGTATTCTGCTAAAAAGTATTTTTTTTGCTTCCTGGTGGGACGCAACACACACACACACACATACCATGAATAAACCATGCAGCAAGGAGCTCGGTTTAAGAATGCAGCAGGGAATGAAGGCTGGTGTCTCACTTCCCATTTTATTAGAGAATTTCGCTGTAAGATTTATCACTGAGGCCCCGTAAATTACATTTTCTGCGGGAGAAATTTCAATTACGGAACAATATTTTACAGGATAAATCACTTTGAGTCTAAAGGCTTTGATAAAGTAGCTTCGGACCCAGGAGAGAGATCAACATCGAGACTCGAGAAGACAGCCTCTCAGGTAATGAGTATTGACCTGGCTTGTCCCATCTGATTACACAGCTGCTGCTTTCTGTTGGCGCTATTGGAAAAGAGGAGGGAATTTCTCCCGCTGTTCTTTGCAGCAATCCCGGCAGATACATTGTTTGTCCACTTTCTTGCTGTTTGTGGGACCTTTGCTGTGCGCAAATTAATCGCCGCATCTACCTACAAATATATACAGTCACTGCACTTAATGGTAATTACCCGTGAAGTGGTTTGAGATGTTTAGATGTATATCAAATGCGAGAATTATTATTTCACCCTGCGATGCTGCTGGTGTGTTGCAGTGTTAGCAACGTCCCAACAAGGACAAAGCTCTAACTGCCCCGGTACGAGGAGTCTGAAGGCATCAGCCACTGATGGTGCTCTGAACATTGCAACGAAGTCCACAAACTACACAGTCACTCCACTTTACAGTAAGTCCAGTGAAGCGCTTTGAGACATCTTCCTGACATTAAATAATAATGATAATCCTCGCATTTGATATAGCGCCTTATCACGACTTTGAGACATCTCAAAGCATTCACAGGACATACTCATTATTTTATAAAGGGCTTCATAAGTAATTATTGTCAAATGTAATGCCTTTTTTTCCTGGCAAACGCGAACAGGGCTTTGCACCAGCTGATCCCACAAACAGCCATGAGATGAATGACCAATTAATCTGCTGTATTTGCCTACAAAAAGATGTCCCCTGCAGCCTCTGTGCAGGAAGAACTGCGAATGTCACTTCCTCACGCAGTACAAGGGGGTTATGCATAGAAAGTGCCACTGCTGTCACTTCCAGTGCATGAAAACACACAGGAAATGAAATGAGTGGCAAACTGATGCCCTGGAAAGCAACAACAACAACAACTTGCATTACATGGCACCTTTACTAAGGATAACATCTAGGAGCACTTTACAAAGTCAAGCCATTTTTTAGTGTGTGAAGTGAGCCAGGCAGTGGCAGATACCTAAGTCAACTTCGCTTTCAATTATCAAAGATACAGGTTAGAAAACAGACAACAGGGTAGGAAATAATATATATGCCTAGAAAATGGTATTTAATAGACCATAATGTCATTTTAGCCCAAACCTAAAAATGATAATCTCCCATTATCAGGCACATCCGACTCCCAAGGCATTTGCCAAGAAAAAAAAGTTGTTTCATTCACCTCGAGTCCTACCACTATTTGGAGTTTGTTGCAGAAGCCCCCAGCCCGGTGGGAGCTTGGCTGTGAACGCTCGCTGTGCTGTGGAGCGTTGCTAAATTCACAGTGTATCTGGGCAGGAAGTGAAGCGTTGCCTGATTTGGATGCTGAGATATGGCTTGAGCCGGCAGAGGGTTTAAAATGTATCAGCCGATCACTGACTCGCTTTCACATTGTGACTCTCACAGCCTGAGACTGGATCGAATCCCAGATCACAGAAATGAGAGGACAATGTGCTGATTACCCAGTGGGCAATCCCAGAGTGCCAACACATGTCATGGGTAACTGGGCGTCAAACCCAAACACTTAACCCTCTGAACACCGGAAACCTTTTCAAACCAAGAACCATTTTTTCCTAGGAGGAAAATATGTTTCGCCCATAAAATATACAGACAATTCACTTTATAGTATATCCTGTGAAGAGCTTTGAGACACCTTGAAGATGTGATAAGGCACCATATCAAATCAAATGCAAGGATTACTATTTACCTGTACAGAGCAATTGCTTCAACTATGATACATACTGCACGTCACCCCTTGAGCTCCTAAGGAATTAGTTAAACTCCCGGACATCTTTCCCCAAACGACTTGAAGTATCAAAGTCTTATTTGCATTCCATGTGATATTCATTGGCAATGGGCTACAGATTGCAGCTCCCCCACCACGCTTCCAGCCCACAGTTCAGCGATTATCAGGGTAGCCTATGCTTTTAAGTTTACTAAAATGTCGGGTGTCCTGCTAACCGTCAGTGGACAGTCAACATCCTGAAACAACTCTCATTCCACAGACATGGCTTGTCCAACCCAGGATGACATCTCCAACGCACTCTCTGGGGTCCCCAAGCCTTGGCTCTTTCTAACCTGCGCCTAATACTTTCCGGAATTAGGTAAGCAGAAGGAATCCCTCCAGGGAGAGAGAGAGAGAGCACATTCTAGCAATCTATCTCTGAGATTTCCATGTATAGGTGGGATGCATGGAAATCCCAGTTTGGTTTGGAGACCTTTAAGCAACGGTGATGGGTTTCCACATGTGACAGACACCCGGCTGACCAAAAAAAAAAGAAGTTACCAACCCACTTAAAAAAACACATATTCCAACGGCTTGGTGAGGTTATGCAGTGGGTTGCTGAGCCACACAGACCAGGTGCAAGGTCCCAGATTCAATTCCTGACCCGTGTTGAGTTAGCTGGTCTCAATGAGAACAGCATTTCGAGCTGCAATTGGCCTGAAGAGAAAACCAACTTGGGGTCCAACCACAGAGAAAACTGTTGGACTCCCACATGATCTCCCTTTCCCCTCCAATGGTAAAATAGCAGCTGACACTGTCATGCTGTCCACATAGAAAATAGCCACTTGATCTTCAGTGGAAGGAGTCTTACACATAAACCTTTTTTATTAAAACAAACTTGATTTGATTCTCAGGAGCTGCTGAAAACATCCCACTGAGTCAATCAAAGGGTTTAGAAATGTCTACAATTCACTCAATCCATTTCTTGTAGGTGGTGGTGTTGCGGGGGGGGGGGTTATTTAACCCCAGGTTTGCAACCCTTTCCAGCCCCACTTACAAAACAATCCCCAACATGGCACCACACAGTTGAAGTCAGTATATTCCTGTTTCGCATCCCTAATCCAGGGACTAAGGAGAACATTTACAATTTCTGTAAGTTTGTGAATGATGCTGCTCTTGCTCTGACCTTCTCTGCCCCCGTCCCCCCGAAACCCCCATCACCTATATTACATTATTTCATGTATAGTTCAAATTTACTGTTACGTTTGCCATAAGTACACAGTCGTCTTCGTTGACAGCAGTTCCCTGTTGAGCTCTTTGAGGTGTTTTATCAAATCTAATTTCACAGTCAGACTTGTGTGTGGGGTGGGGATGAGGGGTAGGATGAGGGTGTGTGGGTGGGGTGTGTGTGTGGGTGATGTGGATGAAGATGTGTGGGTGAGTGTATGTATGTGTGTGGGGTGTGTGTGGGTATGGGTGTATGTATGTGGGTGGGGTGTGAACGTGTGTGAGACGGGGTTGGGTATGGATGTGTGGGTGAGGGTGGGTGTGTGGAGGTGTGGGTATGGGTGTTTGGGGGATGGGTATGGGTGTGGGTGATGGTGGGTGTGTGGGTATGGATGTGAGGGTGAGGGTGAGTGTGTGGGGGGAATACTTACTGGCCGAGGCTGACCAGAACAGCGTTTGTTGTAATCCCGAATGTCTCGTGCAATGGACGTGCCTCGTTCTTCTTGATGACCTTCACAGAACAGAATATTGAGGAAGTTCACCTGGAAACATGAACACCAACAACAAATTACATTTAGAAAGCTCCTTTCACGTCGGGAGGATGTCCCAAGGCGCTGGGAACGGCAAAGGAGAACATTAGAACCAACCTGGCTAAACGGAGTTGAATTAGGCCCTTTGAGATGTTTACAGAGCTAAGTGGTTTACTCATAGATGTATGGAATACTCAGTTTGGATTGGATATTCTTAAGCATCGCGATGGCTTTGTGCATGTGTCAGACACCCGGCTGCAATTTTCCAGGCTGTGTTTGTTTATTAGTTTTTACGACCAGCCATGTTTTCTTTGCCACTCCAGATTTGACATTCATCGCAAACGTACCTTTTGCCTACACAGGGGGCAGCCCACAGCTCCTAACCAGGAACCGTGCCTCCAGTATTCGATTAAACACGATCCTGTTAATAAGACAACATTGCTGTTATTATTATTATTTTGGGGTAATAATTCCTTAAAAAAAAAATGGCCACTTCAATCCATAACTGTTTGAGGGACACTGCTGTGCTCAATCTGCTGCATTTCGTCCACAAAATATACAATTAACTCACTCTATAGTATAAAGTATGCAGTATATTTTGTGAAGCGCTTTGAGACATCTGGAAGATGTGATAAGGCGCTATATCAAATGCAAGGATTATTATTATTATTATACTATCTTCGAGAATTTGTCAGCAATGCCTGCCTGGAATCCGCATGGTAATGTTCCTAAGTTTGTGGGTTGAAGCCCAACGTTGGGACTTGGAATCACATAGTCTAAGTTGATGCTCCAATGCAGTGCTGGGGGTGTGTTTCATTGTTAGAAGTGCCGTCCTTCTGATGAGACATTAAACCGAGGCCCCGTTTGCCTGTTCAGGTAGGTGTTAAAGATCCTATGGCACTATTCGAAAAGAGAAAGGGAATTTCCCCCCTCTCTCTCTCGGTGTCAATCGCCATCAATCCCCCAAATAAAATTGGTCAGTCCATTTTATGGCTGTTTGTGGGACACTGCTGTGCATAACTGGCTGCTGTTTCACCCACACATTACAGTTAATTCACTTTATAATATATTCTGTGTGGCGCTTGGAGAAGTCTGTACGATGTGAGAAGGCGCTACATCAAATGCAAGGATTATTATTAATATTATAATTATTACCAACCAGATCAATAGTGCATTGGCTGTCAATTCCAACGCACAGCAGTGGCTAGCTTCAAATCAAGCCATTGTCAAACATCAATGGGAAAGGGGAGGCGAGGAGAGAGAATCACAAAGATACTCAATGCAATTTTCTCCCATAAAATGTTTGACACAATTATTACAAAGCAGAGTCCAAGGACAGCACCTTGCCTGGTGAGAGGGTGAGAGGAGTCCTGCTGGTTGTGGGTTAGACAGTGACCTTTGTTAGGCAGCACAGAAAGGTCTTTTGTAGAGAGAGATAACTGTGAATCTCACGGAATGACCTACAAACGGGAATCACATGATATTGCTAAATCATTTACCCGTCACACGAGTCAGCCACTACGTAAGAAAGCACTTTGGATGTAATCTAGTTGGAAGAACCCATTAACTCCTGCTGGGCACATATGTAAACTGAAACAGTGGCGTTGTTATTTTAGAAACACTGGAAGATTACCCAGTCGTGAGGTAGACGTCAAAGATCCCATGACACGATTGGAAAAGTAGAAGGGAGTTTCGCCCGGTTGTTCTGGTTGACTATAAGAGTCCTATAGCTCAATAGTTAGAGCACTCGCTTTGCAAGTGAGAGACCTGAGTTCAATTCCAGGCAGAGGGCGAAACCTTGGGCAAGTTTCCTTACTCCACACAGAGCCTAATAATAATCCCTCCAAAACAAAAACAATAATAAATTGGTCATTTTCAATCCACGACTGTTTGTGGGACATTGCTGTGCGCAATTGGCTGCCGCGTTCGCCCACAAATATAGTCAGTTTCACTTTACAGTGTGTTCTGTGAAGCGCTTTGGGACGTCCTCCCGACGTGAAAAGCGCTATATCAAATGCAAGGATTATTATTATTATTATTGCAGGTCTAGCCTGGATGAGTGAGTAATGAGGCTGTGTTTTACTTTTTGATTGGGCTGATATCATTAGAGAGGAGAGAGAGAGAGAAGCCGGGCTGGTTTATGAGAGTCACCTTAACCCTTAATAAATTAAATCACCGCTTTTTTCTCTACGATGTACAGTACATCTTTGTAGTGCATTGTAACCGAATGTAAGCAGCAGTTAGAACTGAAATGACACTGAGCGGACTGTGAGAGGCTGTGCCATTGCAGAAAAACGCACTCGCAGGATGACGAACGGAAATTGTCATCTTACCTACAAATCCCAACAAACCATTACACCTGGGTATTGCAAGCTTAGATAAGTTCCCTTACTCCTCACACCTCTGTTTACCTTGTAGTAAGTAGGAACCCGGTTGTTAGTTGATTGGTGGATCACCATCACAGGATAATAATCCCTCCAAAAAGAAATGCAGTCACTCATTGCCTCTGGCTGTAGGAGCTGATGCGTGCCTCCACCTGATAGCAGAGGGAGGGTGTCTATGGGGGGGATTGAGTGCATATCTGGTACAAATTACCAAAATGATTGATGGTGAAAGCCCCTGTAATGTAATCAGCAAATGATGCTCATAAAGCACTCAAGCTGCTCTCTCTCGTAGTTTAGGATTACAGCTGCGCCACTTGTTTAATTGATAGTCTTATTACTACCCGCCATCCATACTGCCACGCTCAGTTTCGAAGAGATTGTCTTACGTCCCTGCAAACACGAGGGGAGCAGGCGAGAGGAATAAGAGGTGGTGTGTGGGGGGTGGGGAGGGGGCTCGTGGGGTATATAAACACTGGCACAGCTGCTTCCATGCCGAATCATTCCATATAACTTGTGCTTTTTTTAACCTGATGTTAATTCTGCTCTCACAGGATCTAGTTAGTCTTCGAGGCAACTTGTGTGGCCATAACTATGGAGCTTAGTGGTTAGAGCGATCGCCTCGCGAACGAGATGACCTTGGTTCAATTTGCCGGGCAGGGCAACAACAACAACAAATTACATTTACATTTATAGAACGCCTTTCACGTTGGGAGAACATCCCAATGTGCTGAAAACCTTAGATGAGTTTCCTTACTCCACACGTGCTGTTTATCTAGCAGCAAGTAATAATCCCTCAAAAACAAAACCAACAAAGATTTGGTCAACTCAGTCCACGGCTGTTTGTGGGACACTGCTATGTGCAATAGCCATATTTCACCCACAAAATATACAGTCAATTCACTTTACAGTATATTCCGTGAAGCGCTTTGAGATGTCTCGAAGATGTGATAAGGCACTGTATCAAATGTAAGGATTATTATTATATATTTTTTCAACCGAGATGCAGCTCTGTTAGAGTCAGATCTCGTGTAACCTCTGCAGGCAAGACATCCAACATCCAATCCGTTTGATCATGTCTTGGCCACCTCCCTCCTACCTACCTCCCATCCTGCTAGAGCTCCCACTCTGTCAAGCGCTTTGAGGGTCTTTCCCTATGTGAGACTTTCTGTCATTGAGGACGGGGGGAAATCTAACCAGAACGAAAGCAAATAATTTGAAAAGAAAGAGAAGAATCTTACCAGTAGAATAAAATATAAACACGTTACAGCACAGCAGGGAAAGCACTTTCATAAAAGTGAAACCCACCACAAAACGAATGTCCACAGTTGGTTTCCACTGGATAAGAGGGTATCTGGAGACAGACTGGGCAGTGGGGCTCACTTTGCAAACCAGACCTTGGGTGGGTTTGCAATTCCTGAAAGAAAAATGACAAAAGTTCCACAATCCACCAATTTTCAAGCATGTTTTTGGTTGCAAAATGCCTCCAACTCAGTTTTCAATGGTAATCCTCACTTGGTAACAAATGAGGCTAATCTACAGAGTTGTTTCAGTAACATCAATAACAACAATAACTTGCCAATGGTGCCTTTCTGCCAATTGGCAGCGTCTCGAAGCGCTTAACAGTGGTGGAGGCTGATGCCAGGCTGGAGGGAGGGAGTGACTGTAAGCACGGTCGAAGAGAAGCTCTTCAGTCGTGATCTAAAAGAGGGGGAGGAGGGATTGGGAAAAGAGTTCTAAAGCTTCGGGTGTAGTGGCTGAAAGAACTCAAAGCCAATGAACAGATTTACAGTGGCTCAAGGCTAGAAGCTGAAAGATATTCACCCCTGTGTTCTAAGATGCCGTCCGAGGTGGAGGGCGCTATATAAATCCAAGTTGTTGTTGTTATTGTTGCTGTGTTACACCAGGTAACAGCTGAAATGGGATAAAAAGATCTGCCATGATCTAATAGAATTGGTGGAGTAGCTCAATCGGCTGAATGGCTTCCTGCTCAGATAAATTCCTCTACTGCTGCCTGAGACATTCTGTAATTTCATATTGTCTTGTGGAGCAAAAGGACTCAATGTTTGGTGTGTACTTTGTTATGGTATATTGAATGATTACTGAACTGTTAGGGTTACAATTGTACAACTCCTGGATTCAGATCCCGGCAAGGCGAAACCTTAGGCAGGTTTCCTTACTCCACATCCTCTGTTTACCTAGCAGTAAAGTAGGGACCCGGTTGTTAAGTCGATTGGCAGATTGCTTTTCTGGGGTAATAATCCCTTCTAAAAAATACAAAATAATAATTTGGTCACCCAATCCACGACTGTTTGTGGGACGCTGCTGTGCGCAATTGGCTGTCGCGTTTCGCCCACAAAATATACATTCAATTCACTTTACAGTATATTCTGCTAAGCGCTTTCAGACGTCTCAAAGACGTGATAAGGCACTGTATCAAATGCAAGGATTATTATTATTATTAATTGTGGATTGGGTGCAGTGCGTATATACTAAACTTCAACACTGAGATGATCTCGGTCTTCACAAGCAGTTCCTCTCAGTATGGCTCTACCCATACGGGTGGATCAAAACGAAGATTAATTGCTTCATAGATTACTCTTTTCTTCAAAATCATTGTAGGAATTACCTTAAATTGCACAGTGAAGATCATTTTATGATAATTTACTTTAGAATGAGTCTTGCCACACTTGTTAATGTGTCCTAAAGAAAAAGCTAAACTGAGCTGAGTGTACCTCGAGACAAAGTACCACTGAGATGGGAGAAAATTACAAAAATACACTCACTGAGTAAGGTTTGTGACACATCCCGCTGTTGATCCTTCGTTGACCCATGCTTTAGCCCTTCAGACTTTTTCCTTTCTCTTGTCTACAGCCAGGTCAAACCTGAAGGACAAACATGAGAGATAAGGTCAGGTTTACACTGCAGACTTATCTCCAGGAAAGAGTAAAAACACTAGCAAAAGCATTGATTTATACAGTATCTCCAGTTTTATTTCCGAATTCAGTTTTAGAATGATCTTGAATTTATAAGAACTGTATTAATATGGCCACAATTTCGGAAACTTGGACTCAAGCTCAGAAGAAGGAAGGGGAATAGGCAGTACAGATTAATTTTTCCTACACAGAGGTCAGCAAGTGTTTGGGATAGATAACAAAGACAGTCTCAGGAAGGAATTAGACAGCTATTTGTTAGGAATTGATTAAGTATGAGAGAGAATAGAATTTTGTATCCAATTTAATTTAGGATTGGCTAGTTGGTCTATCTAATATATTACTAAGTTTTTAAACTATTATACTGCTTGGATGTCCAATAAGATTAATATCCTGTTCCTTTTAAGCTCCATAAATAATAGTCTTATCACGTTAGTCCTCTAACTGCATTTTCACTGCATTGAAATCAAAATTCATTAAAGCCTACTCGTTCTTTCCTAAGGCCTTAAGCGTGTTGAGGACAAGCGAGAAAACCTGCAGGGCGAAACCTTAAGCAAGTTTCCTTACTCCACATGCCACATTACTTAACTGTAAGTAGGAACGCAGTTGTTAGTTGATTTGGCAGATTGTATTTCTGGGGGCATTAATCCCTTCAAAAAAATAAACAAACAAATAAATAATAATAATAATTTGGACACTCAATCCATGATATTGTTGTTTGCAATTGGCTGCAGTATTTCACCCACAGAAGATACAGTAATTCACTTTGCAGTGTATCCTGTGAAGCACCTTGTGATGTCTCAAAGACATGATAAGGAACTATATCAAATGCAAGGATTAATATTATTATTATAAAACTCTTCAGTGCTTCTCATCCTTCTGCTCCTCCAATTCACTGTGACGTATCTTGTTTTTTCTACAACTCTCCTCAGTCTTGATCAAGTTCTTATGGTTACCTCCCCCCTCCCTCTGCCCCTGGCTCTCTGTCAGACTCCACCACTGTCAAGCTGCGGGACACTGCCCCACGTGAAAGGCGCTGTGTAAAAGTAGATTGCTGTTTTTGGTTATTAGTCTGCAGTGTAAACCTTGTCTCTTCAACTAGGTTCCTCAATGAAAGAACCTTCATAAAGTTTCTTCAATTAATATCTATAGAGGACGGAATACTCGCACAAACTTCCCAACCCATATTTTCAAACTCAAGATTTTGGTTACGATGGAACTATGTTTCCATACGACCCTGCTCTTCGAAACTTATTGCATAAGGACACAAGAAATGCTAGACAAAAGAAGACCAAGGTCCATCTAGTTCACCGTGCACCTGCCTGATGGTCGCCCGCACATATGTCCCAAACTCTCCAATATACTATACCCCATAATGTTGTTTCCTGAAAGAAAACTATCTAATCTGTGTTTGAAAGAAACAACACATTCCCGCACATGTGCTCTTTATACACCGATCTCACTCCTCACAATACATTAATATTATTAATAATAATAATATTGGCAGCGATGCTCTCGTATTATTATTTTCTCCAATGCTCCCTTTGTTACTACACTTTGGAAATGTTTACTGCACTTCAGCATATGGTGTTATGTAATGAAGTGCGCATGAGAGCAGCTGTTAGATCGACCGTAAATATTTTCAGCTTCTTGTAACCCACGCCCTCTGTTAAAGAGTAAAGCTGTTGTAAACTCAGCAAAGTAATTGTCTCTAACTCACCAGCAAGTCAAGAGTTTAAACAGGAGCAGTGCACAACCAGAGGTTTAAACGCATGCGTTAACACTGTTCCTCAACCATCTTCTGTAGTTCAGTGGTTAGAACACTCGCCTCGCAAGCGAGAGACCTGGGTTTGATTCCCAATGGGGTAAAACAGTGGGCAAGTTTCTTACTCTGCAAGCCTCTGTTTACCTATTCGAAGTAGGAACCTGGTTATTAATTGATTGGTGAATCGCTTTTCCGGGGGTAATAGTTTCTTCAAAATAAATAATAATAATTTGGTCACTCAATCCACAACTATTTGTGGGATGTTGCTGTGCGCAATTGGCTGCTGCATTTTGCCCACAAAATATGCAATTAATTCACTTTACAGTATACTCTGTGAAGCGCTTTGAGACGTCTCGAAGTTGTGATCAGATGCTATATCAAATGCAAGGATTATTATTAGTATTATTATCCAGTGACCATGGTGTAAGGTCCTCGATTAGAGCTAATGGGATAAGAAGCCGTTTCTGCACAAAAGTAACTGAGAATGTGGAACGGACTACCTCAAAAGGACATAGATGCTAAACCTATTGAGATGCTCATGCAAGGATTATATTTAAAAGGGAAATAGATGGATACTTGGGAAGGGAATTGAAGTGATGTGGAGGAAAGCCAAGATAATGGTCTGAAACATCTGACTTGATGTAATCAAATGGCTTAACATGCTCGAAGGGCTGAAGTACCTACTCCTATTCCTATTTCTCTGCTTGAAAATGCTACTTCTCGGAACCAAATCAGTGAACTTGTAGGAAAGCAGCCACTGTTTTGCCCTCTTGTGACTTGCCTCCATTTGCCCCAGTTTTTAAGGAGATGCCCACTTGGCAGTACTTGGCATTAAAACTCTGTAATAATCTCTCTGCATAGTTTATCGTACAAGCTCAGGGATCTAGGAAGCAGCTTATTTAACAGGGCTTAGTTTTATTCCAGTAACAAAAGTCATCCTTTCATGTGATCTTTCTGAGCACTTGAAAGCAATGACTAAACATTATTGAGATAGTGCCAGCATTTACAATGCAGCCCACCATCACAGAGAATTCATTCTCGATCGATAATACCCTGATGCAATCATTAGCCCAACATTCGGAGAAATCGATATTTGGCTAATATTTACGTAACCAGTGAGTACATTATTTGGTTATTGGTTTCATTGACCAGAAGTCTCTTTATTTAGCCTGCGGAATAGTCACAACACTTTTCAGTGAATCCAGTGAAGGTTCTCTTGAGATGTTCTCTTGAGGTGAAAGGGATTATCTTATTGTTAACCAGAGCATTATTTCCTCAGATTTCTAGTGTGGCTTCTCATGTAGTGTCCAGCGATTTATTTTCCCGATCCACTGTGGGTATTAGATGTAATGCTGCTGTGAAATCCAGGGAATGTGCAAACTGTATATACTTTGGGATATGACATATGCAAGCAACTGCCAGGATGGTGGAAGGTGAACTGGATGGACCTTGGTCTTCTTTCATCTATCAATTCTTAAATTCTTAACGTCTTTCACTGTAAAGCTAGATTTAAAGTACACGTTCCGGACAAGTCATCACCAGGCTCAACAATTTGTGGGTGTGAGTCTGACTCTGTTGATAACGGTTTCGCTTCTAGGTTTGGATGATTATGAGTTCAAGGAAGCCCTATGCCAGATTTTAGCTCACAGTCTAGAATGATGCTCCAGCATAGTTCACTGGGAGTGTTGGATTGTCCTTCAGGTGAGAGGAGAATGGGATTAGGTTAGGCGGTTCTTGTGGAGGAGAGAAGTTTTGATGGGCACGATTCTAGGCTGTAAGTGATTCTTTCTCTGAGGTCCCATCACTCTGTTCAAGTGGACAATAAAGATCCCACGATGGGATTAGGAAATCACCACGATTTTGATACCGTTGTACCACGTAGGTACCTATCTGTGAAAAGGTCCAAATGTTCCAAGTGACCTCTCATCATTTAGTTACGATATTCAGGACAAACAGAGATGGTATCGAGAAGCGTTTACACCAAGCATGCCTAGCTCATACACCATAAATCATTCTTTATTAAGTGAAAACTCTTAAGGATATTCAACCCAGGTAACTAACTCATTCAACCAAGTCTTGAGTTCAGAATCTGATATGACCATTTTCACCTTTCCCTCCCTCCAATTATATTAAGTTATTGTATTCTCATGACGAACGTGTGATTTATCCATTTTCCTTTGAATGGTTAATTGAGTCAATATTTACAACCACAACAACAACTTGCATTTATATAGCACCGTTCACATGTCTCGGAGCGCTTAACAGTGGCTGAACCTGTCGCTGAGCCTGGGGAAGAGACCATTAACGGTTGAAGAGGAAGGAAGGTTCAATCATGATCTAAAAGTAGGGAATGAGGTGGCAAGTGGAAGGGAGATCGGTGGAGAGAGTTCTATCGTTTTGGGGCGTAGTGCCTGAAAGTGCGGCCACTGATGGTGGAGCAGAGGAGTCGAGGGACAAGCAGGTAGCCAGAGTCAGCCGAGCGGAGGCAGTGGAGTGGGGCAAAAGCAGATCAGAAAGGTAACAGCGGTTCCAAGGAGTGAAGGGATTTGTAGATGTAATGCATATACAGTAGACTACCCTGAAAATTAAAAAGAAAAATAATCCTTGCATTCAAAACAGCACCTTATCACATCGTTGGGATGTCTCAAAGTACTTCACAGGATATACTGTAAAGAGGATCAACTATTCTGTGGGTGAAATGCGGCAGTCCCACAAACAGTCATTGAGTGAGTGACCAATTTTATTTGGGTAATTGTCAGTCAGGACGCAGGGAGAAACTCCCCTCCTTTTTCGAACAGTGCCATGGGGTCTTTAATGTCCACCTGACCAGGCAAACGGGGCCTCAGTTTAACATCTCAGCCAAAGGACATCACCTCCATCAATGCAACACACCCACCTCCAACGCTGCGTTGGAGCGTCTTCTTAGACAATGTGGATGCGAGTCTCAATGTGGGGCTTGAACCCACAACCTTCTGACTCGGAGGCGAGAGCCCTACCACTGAGCACTGAGAAAGTCAATACTTTTTTTTGTGTGGCTATGATTCGCTCCATCATCTTACAGTCCCTCAATCTCCCAGCCTGCGCTGCTCTCTATCTCGCTTGAGGGCAGATAGCCTGAGCTCAGACCTCAGCCAGGACACACAGCAGCATTCTAGGAAGAGCTTCTTTTCCTCTCGTAACGTTGCTTCCGTTCGTCTCCTCCTCACAGGAAGGGAGGCTTGATGCCACATGGAGACCATTAACCTGAATAGCGCCAGTCTCAGTGACTGAGACTGAGACACAGTCTACGGCTCTTGAAACATCCTCCTGAACAGGCAGACTTTGCATCTCAACGACGGCAGCTCAAACACTGAAGCACTTGCCCCCAGCCACTGCACTAGAACGTCAACTTAGACTGTGAGTTCAAAGTCCCAATATTCTGATGCAACAGGTCCAAGTTGCTGTGACTTTGGTTTCTTGAAGCCACACTTAATAACAGTATAATTTTTGCATTTGATACAGCACCTTATCACGTCTTCAAGTCGTCTCAAAGCGCTTCACGGGATACACTGTGAAATGAATTATTTTGTGTACTTTACCGCAGCACTTTATGAACAAATATAGGACTGTCTAATTCATTGGCAATACAGTTTTTTTTAATACCGAGGTCATGAGTAGTCTGTGATCGTGATATAAAACCTGGCAACGTTTCTGTTTGTTTGATTCTTAGCATTTTTAGAACATGAAAAGGTAAAAAAAAATCCACTTTGACCCAGTTCGCCATCTGTAAGATTGGATGCACTTTATTACCTATTGCAAATCTGATCTAGTTTTTATTAGTTTCAGACTGATAAAATTCCAGCAGAGGAATTCGTGTTCATCTGACCTTTTTCAAGTAAAGAAATATCTTACACTGCTGTACAAATCGTTCTCGCTCGACTGAATTAATCACCAAATAAACTACCGAATGAATTCCCTCTTGGATTTGCTGATGCAATCTGCCACCATAGTCTATTCCACACATTCATCGCTCTTTGTTAAAATAACTAAGTCTGATCTGTCTGTCCACCTTCCCTCTTCTGAACTACTAGTCCACATTTACATTGACCGTACATTGACTGTAGTACCGTGTATAAAAATGCTTTATAAGATGGAGGGCAGGGGAGCGACTAAAAATGACAGCAAGAAATCTTAACACATCACCCCCTGCGTTGTCACCTGTACAGAGAAAGTTACGGTAGCAAATCGCGTCATTCAACAACAACAACAAATTACACTTGTATAGTGCCTTTCACGTCAGGAGGACATCCCAAAGCGCTCAATAAGGAAGCGATAAACACTTGGAAAAACTTGTTCTTAAAGCAAACCCAGGAACCACCCCCAAAAAAGATCTTTAAGTCTTTTTTATATATCAGACACAGCAGGACAGTGAATTGCTCCACATTCCAGACTAAATATAATTACTTCCGATGCAACAACCAGTTTCAGTTCTTACCTGTTGTCAATACGACCGGAACAGCAATGGTGCTGGTAAAGCATTCAGTGGGGGTGTGTTTACATATCTACATGTGTGTGTGTGTGTGTGTGTGCAATAGGAAAACCAGCTCAGCTCACCAGTTCTATCCAGTAATGTTGTGAGTCTGCGTCACCGACCCCTGTTCCGTATGACAGACCGCATCACCTTGGCTGCACATTAACGAGCCTCGAAAAGAAACACCCTCACAAAGAATTAATTCAGCACAGATTCAGAACAAAAGTAAACTGTGGCCTAATTTCCCCGAAAAGGTGGGGAGGGAGAGGGGGGAAGGGGTGGGGGGCAATGTTTTAGATTTATACTGATTTTGATTTCCTCAGTTAATGACTGACAGAATATGGAGGGTGATGAGGCAATTTACTGTGCAAATATTAACTTTGGCATGATGACTTTCATGAGGCAGCTGGAGGTATTTGGATCACGTGACAGCCAGATAATCCGCCAAAGAAGAGGGTGAATCTGTTAAATAAGGTTCCTAGGAGCACATCAATAACAAACTTTAGATAGGGAAACTAATACAGTCACTCCACTTTGCAGTGTATCCTGTGAAGCGCTTTCAGGTCCCTCCAATGTGAAAAGGTGCTGCATTAAATGCAAGGATTACTATCGAAAGGGTTTTGTGGGGTCCCATATCACATGGATATATATTTAAATATTCATCAAATAATGCAACTAAAACTTACTGTGTAACGCAAACATAAACGCTATCAGAAAAAGATAGAAGAAATAGGATATTAAACTAGCTTTTGAAACAGCACACGGTTTGCAGTTAATGTATTCCATTTTACTCCACAGTGGATTATATACTCCATACAGATTGTAGTAGCCGTCAATTTAAGTGGCATTTTTTATGACAATAATCACTACTCTTGGTATTTACTCACAAAACACAGTCACTCCACTTTACAGTGTATTCTGTGAGGCGCTTTGAGACGTCCCTCATATGTGAAAGGTGCTGTATCAAATGCAAGGATTATCATCAGAAGGGGTTGTGGTGTCCCATAGCACATGGATATACTTAAATATTTAGTGAATAATGCAACAGGCAATTAGAGAATGTAAATTGGTATCATTTAATAAAAGGTCATGTTCATTATTTTTTACCAATCCCAAAAAATTGCCATTCTTGTTGAAGAGAAGCACTCCAATAGCTGGAACTTATTTACACGATGCAAGGTGAGTTTGCTTCCAGGATGACACCAGAAATTATTATTATTAAAAACATCAACCGACAGGTTGAATCAAATTGACTCCAAATCAATATTTTTCTTCTTTTAGCTGAGCAATAATTCAAAGGGCAAACTCTGTCCTGAAGAAAGAAATTCTCAAATGAATGACCATAGAACAAGGCGGATAAAGCAGGTTTCATTGGGTAGAAAAATAGTGAGACGTGACGCGACAGTGGGAATATTTACATCAAGGGACAGACTGAGTAGCTAATCTGGGAATTTTATATTGCATCAGATTGCACCTAACTGAATCTTTCAAGGCTATACTGGTTTATTTCACCGGTTAGCTATAGTGAGGTGATTCAAGTGAGTTCATTTGCAAATCTCTTATCCTACCGCACAGAAATGGGCCATTACCCTTACCAACTCTTGAGTTGGTGCTTTTTATTCCACAAGCCGTCTAAACTAATCTCACTTTCCTCCTCAGGGCCCCTTAACCATTATTTTTTTGAGCAAAGGTTACCTGGGCAGGGCAAAACCTTAGGTCAGTTTCCTTACTCCACACGTCTCTGATTTTCTAGCAGTGAGTAGGAACCCGGTTGTTAAGTCGATTGTTGGATCGCTTTCTGTGGGCAATAATCCCTTAAAAAAAATGGTCACTCAATCCACGATTGTTTGTGGAACACTGTTGTACACAATTGGCTGCTGCGTTTTCACCCACAAGATACACACTCAATCCGCTCAATCCAATATTTTCTGAGAAGCGCTTAATATAGCGCCTTTATCAATGACATGATTAGGCTCTATATCAAATGGAAGGATTATTATTATTATTGAAGCCAGTGAATCAAATTGTAGCTTCAGTGCACTGCCCAGGTGGTGCCTGTGGCTCATTCGGTAGCGCTCGCACCTCTGAGTCCGAAGGTTGTGGGTTTGTGTCCCATGTTCTGAGATTGAACGCAGTCTAGTCTGACACTCCAGTGCAGTTTTGTGGAGGCCTGTACCGTTGGAGGCGCTGCCCTTTGGGTGAGATATTGCATTGGATTCTGTCTTTGCCTGTTTAGGTAGATGCTAAAGATCCCATGGCACAATGCGGAACGAGAAGGAAGCTTACCATGGTGTCTCGTACAACAATCCCCCAGATAAAATACATCTGTGGTTAGAGCTATTGCCTGGCAAGCGAGAGGCCTGGGTTTGATTCCCGGAAGGGCGAAATCTTGGGCAAGTTTCCTTACGCCACACGCCTGATAATAATCTCTCTAGAAAAAAAACAATAAAATTGGTCACTTGAATCCACGACTGTTTGTTATGGACGCTGCTGTGCGCAATTGGCTGCCGCATTTCACCCACAAAATGTACAGTCAATTCACTTTACAGTATATCCTGTGAAGCGTTTAGAGACGTCTCGAAGACATGAAAAGCGCTGTATAAAACCCGAGGATTATTTATCATTCACTTCATGACTCTTTGTGGGATATTACCAAAGCGTAAATTGACTGCTGACAAAACACAGTCACTAGACTTCATAGTAAAATTCTGTGAAGCACTTTGAGGCATTTTGTTGAGGCGATAAGGAGCTGTATCAAATATAAGTAAATATTTATTGATCCAAAAATAAATCAGTTGGGCAAAACAGCTGAGAATTTCTGTTAGCCTCCAAACATATCCCGTTTAGAAGTTTCCAATTGAAAATCTGGGGACGGTTTTCTGGGTTTGTTTCGAAAAAAGAGTGCAGTTTTTTTTTATATAAAAATGTTTAAAGAAAATCCACAGCCATTTGGAATAATATTTCGTTCGGGTGATTCTTAACAAATCGTGAGGCTCACAGATTACAAAAAAAAAAGGAATGAGCTGACGATTGGGGGCAGTCAAACTTTAGTCATCAGCCAAAAAAGAAAAGAAATTGCACATGACCTCGAATAGGTTTCCCATTGCAAAAGGGTTTGATGAGTGAGTGAGTGAGTGAGTGAGTGAGTGAGACAGAAACAAGTCATTTCTATCATAACTGCAGCACATAAAAAAGACAATTATAAAGTTGCCCACTTTTTTCCTCTTTATTCTCACACATTTTCACGCCTCGCCTTTTTTTTTATAGTTTTTTAATTGGATTTCCCCCCTCTCCATCCTTTCCCAAAAGATTAATTTTTCCCCACCTCTTATTTTTTTTTGAATTTTAAATAAACAAAGCCTTGGGGTGGGGGGTGGGGGGGGGGACAGAAAACAACAAGGGGGGGGGATAATTTGGGAGGGGGGTGGAGGGTTTGGGAGGAGGAGAGGGGGGAGGGGGAGGGGGAGAGGGGTGGAGGGGGGGAGAGAGAGAGAGAAGCAGTGAGAGGGGTTGGGGGAGAGAAAGAGAGAGTGAAGGAGGCAGAGAAGGAGTGGGGAGAGGGGGGGGAGAGTGGAGGGGGAGAGAGAGAGAAGCAGAGAGAGGGGAGGGGGGGGAGAGAGGGGGGAGAGAGAGTGGAGGGGGGGGAGAGAGAGAGAGGCAGAGAGGAGGGGGGAGAGAGAAAGTGAAGGAGGCAAAGAAGGGAGGGGGGAGATAGAGGGGAGGGGGAGAGAAAGGGGGGAGGAGAGAGAGAAGCAGAGAGGAGGGGAGGGGGGAGAGAAAGGGGGGAGGAGAGAGAGAAGCAGAGAGGAGGGGGGAGGAGTGGGGAGAGGGGGGAGGAGTGGCGGGGAGAGGAGTGGGGGGGGGAGAGAGAGGAGAGGGAGGGAGGAGTGGGGGAGGGGAGAGGGGGGGAGGGGGAGGGAGGGGAGGGAGGAGTGGGGGGAGGGGAGAGGGGGGGGAGGAGTGGGAGAGGGAGGGAGCGTGGGGAGAGGGGGGGAGAGGGGGAGGAGTGGGGAGGGGGGCGAGAGTGGGGGGAGGGGGGAGATGGGGGGAGGGGGAGGAGGAGGGGGGGAGAGGGAGGGAGTGGGGAGAGGAGGGGGGAGGAGGGGAGGGGGGGGGAGGGGAGAGGGGGGAGGGGAGAGGGGGAGGGGGGGAGGGGGGGGGGAGGGGGAGGGAGAGGGGAGGGGGGGAGGGAGTGGGGGAGAGGGGGGGGGGAGGGGGAGAGGGAGGGCGAGGGAGGAGGAAGGGGGAGGGGAGGGACCGCAGTAAGTAGGAACCCGGTTGTTAGTCGATTGATGGATCACTTTTTCGGGGGTAATAATCCCTTCGAAAAAAAATAATAATTAAGTAGACACTTCAATCCACGACTGTTTGTGGGCCGCTGCTGTGTGCAATTGGCTGCCGCGTTTTGCCCACAAAATATACAGACAATTTGCTTTACAGTGAATATCCTGTGAAGCGCTTTGAGACGTCTCAACGACTCGAAAAGGCGTTGTATCAAATGTGAGGATTATTATGATGAGGAGGATGATGATTGACGAGGTTAGGATCTTCCACCGAATTATTTTGTCTTCTCTTCAGATTATACTTTCCCAAAGGAGAGTCATTCTGGCTCCGTGTTCCACCTGACTCGGGAGCACCTGGAGCTGCTGGTGATTTGGTCGCACTGTCACGGTAACCAGTGCACCTTCGCGCCCACCTGGCGGGAGATCACGGAGGAGCACCAGACCGGCTTGCTGACTGTGCTGTGGGAGTGCGAGGCTGGGCACTCCTACCACTGGTGGACGGGGGGTGTGTGCCGATCGGAGTGCGACCAGGACCAGACCCCGGCCAAACACAAGCCCTCGGATGACTCCGCGCAGGCCAGGAAACCGCAGAGGATGAAGCTGGACGACGGGGACATCATGGAGGAGATCGACTCGCTGGATGGCTGCTGCAAGCCCTTCCTCACGGCCGACGGGAAGCCCATCCGGAACGGGGCCTCGGCTCGGCACCTCTCCCGGTCCCGATCTCCCTCCCCCTCCCAGCTCCCCTGGCGGGACCCTGGGTACGGCGACGACAGGGGCAAGTCGGGCACCGATGGGGTGAAGAAACCCGACGTCCTGTACATCAAAACCGAAAAGGAGGAAACCTCGGGCTACAGTGACCCGACCGAGGTCAAGGTGGAGGGTCGCAGCCAGAGCCGAGGCCCAAGGAAGTACCACCCAGGAGAGAAGCCCTTGGGGGCCGGCCAGGGCCAGGCAGCAGCCGCCGAGTCCCCCGACGGCTGCAGGAAGCGTCCCTCGTCGGCGGCCGACAGCTCGGGCTTCGCGGCGCACTGCAGCAATGGTAAAGTACACGTGGGCGAAGTGCACCATTCGCCGTACCCCGTGCCCAGGCAGCCCGGGGGCACGGCCCACAGCACAACCAAGTCACCAGGGATCAGCGGGGCCACCAAGCCAGCTAACCACAGCCAGAGCTCGGCCAGCACCGAGCTGCTCCTGGACTCCGGGTACGGCAGGAATTCTGACATGAGCAACGCTGAGCTGGACTGCGAGACTTCGATTCCGTGCACCCAAGAAGGGGTGCTAGGTAAGCAGGTATTTTTTTCCCCCCCACACCACCTTCCCACAGGATCGGGAGGAGACCATTCAGCCCCTGAAGCCTGTTCCGCCATTCTATTCGATCATGACTGATCTGTAACTCCACTCCATTTTACGCCCCCCCACCACGCCCCCCACCAACACCCCCCAGAGCTGAGCTGTCATCCCCTGGCACATAAGAGTAATTCTTAATTGATGCAGTCCGAGTTTCTAAACTTAAAGCACATTTTACCCCTCATTATACCATAAAGTAAAATGTAGGTACATTCTATGTTTGCCCAGCCGGGTGTATGACACACATGGAAACCCATCACCGTTGCTGAAGAGCATCGAGACCAAGCTGAGAATTCCCTGCATTTCACCAACACGTGGAAATCCCTGCGATAGATTGTTGGAATGGACTGCGCCCTCTCTCTCTCTCCCTGGAGGGACAGACCCTGCTTACCTAATTGAGGAAAGTATTAGGCGCAGGTTGGCGAGAGCCCAGGCTTGTGGGGTCTAACCAGCAGGTGCATTTAGCAAAGGAACACAGAATAAGTTGTATTCAAAGCACCTGTATTGCACTGGAGTAACCAAATGTTTCCCTCCCATCACCCGCTTTCCTGGCAGAGTTCTTGCACACCGTTCTGAAGACTGAGGTGGTGGATGAAATCTATTCCAGTGTCCGTTTGGCGAACGAGAGTGACGTGGAGGTTCTGACAGAGAACCTGAGTGGCAAAGAAGCCTTACTCCTGGATTCCAGCATCCAGACCAACGCCAGGCTGTATTTCAGCACGGGTGGCTGGGCTGCTTTGTCAGCCACGCTGGAGGTACTGGGAGGTGAGTGAGCTTTCACACGAACAACAACAACAACTTGCATTTATATAGCGCCCCTCACACAGCGGAGCGTCCCCGAGCTCTTTACAATGTAGTTCCTTCTCCCACTTTATCATAGACATAACTTTTTCTCCTCCCCACCCCCCACCCAACATCCTCCCACCCCCAAGTTGGCACTCAAAATATATTGACTTGTAACCATAACCAGGGTCAGTTTGGTCGAATGTTATGATAATAATATAATAATAAACCTTGCACTTGATATAGCCTCTTATCCCTCCAAAAAAACAAAACAATAATAAATTGGTCATTTTCAATCCACGACTGTTGGTGGGACATTGCTGTGCGCAATTGGCTGCCGCGTTTCACCCAAAATATGCGGTCAATTTCACTTTGCAGTCTATTCTGTGAAGCACTTTGAGACGTCGAGAAGATGTGAAAAGCGCGATATCAAATGCAAGGATTACTATTACTATCACGTCGTTGAGATGTCTCAAGCTGCTGCACAGGCTGTACTGTAAAGTGTAGTGACTGTGTATTTTGCGGGCGAAATTTGGCAGCCAATTGCACGCGGCAGCGTCCCACAAACAGCCGTGGGTTGAGTGACTGGGTTTTCAACTCCCCTCTCGACTCTCTACCCTCCTCGCTCCCTCCCTTCCCTCCCCTCACCTGACCATTTCCCCCCAATGCTCGGGTCCTGACCCAACTGTAGCGCCTCGGGACGTCCTCCCGACGTGAAAGGCGCTCTATAAATGCAATCTTGTTGTTGTTGTTTATTTTGGGGTGTGGCAAGCGCTGTGCTGTGTGGATGTAAATTTGTATTGTATTGTGTGGAGCAAAATTTTCAACAGGGTCACTTTTTCCCCTCCTAAGTTTCAGATTCGACGTCGGAATTAATGGTCATTAACCCGTACACACTGAACGCTGAAATTATGGATGAAGGTAAGGTGCAAATTTGTTCTAAAAACACCTCGAGGTGGAGAGAACTGCAGCAGATACGGGAAACTTGTGGCAACCCATAATGCTGAGTGTTAACACCACGAAAGCTTTAAACCATAAAAATGCTCGTGTCAACTATATATTTGTTTTCCAAATTGATTTTCTCCAGATATGCCTCTGGTTACAGTCAGTACTTGTTAACAGAACACCACATTGATTTTTGTTTGTTTGACAATGCAGTGGCAACATTCATGTCCATTTGAGAAGGAAGAGTTTAATTTAGGTTAATAAAGGTGATATTAACAGTTCCCCCGGGACAGGGAGGGTAAAATACCAGCCAGGGATTTGGGTCTTGGATCACTACCTGGAGTGATGGACTTGCTTATGTATATATGGTCTGCACAGGGTTTAGGTATCGTATCAGCCTGGCTGATTTGGTAGCGTTCTCGCTTCTGAGTCAGAAGTTTGAGATGTTCAGCCTATTGGAAGGATCCCGTAAAAATAAATGCAGATTGTAATGTTCTAAAATTACCCTCCTGAACCCTGAACCTAAAACAACAACAACAAAATTACATTTGTATAGCGCCTTTCACGTCGGGAGGATGTCCCAAGGTGCTGGACGGACAGAGTTTCAGACCCAAGCTGGGGGTCAGGGTGGGGGAGGGTGGAAGTTAGGGGGGGAAACAGGGAGATCGAAAGCATGGGCGAGTAGCAGGGTCTTGAGATGGGTCTTGAAGGTGGCGAGGCGGAGGGACTGCGGGATGCGGGAAAACCTTTGAACCCATGCCTTCTTGTCCTGCGGATCTGACTATTAATAATAATAATTATTAACTATTAATAATAATAATAACAGATTAAGCATAACCGTGAGGTTATGCTTAATCTATACAAAACACTGGTTAGGTCTCAGCTGGAGTACTGCGTCCTGTTCTGGGCACCGTACCTCAGGAAGGATATTAAGGCACTGGAAAGGGTGCAGAGGAGATTCACGAGAATGATACCAGGAAATGGGGAACCTTAGCTATGAGGACAGGCTGGAGAAGTTAGGACTTTTCCCATTAGAGCAGAGAAGGTTACACGGGGACCTGATAGAGGTCTTCAAGATCATGAAAGGTTTCAACAGGCGAGATAGGGAAAAGCTGTTGCCGCTGGTAGGTGTGTCTGTGACTCATGGTCACAGTCTTAAGATATCTACCAAAAGAAGCAGAAAGGAGGTTAGAAGAAATGTTTTCACTCAGCAAATGGTTAGAATTTGGAATGATCCGCCCGAAAGGGCAGTGAAGTCCGATTCGATAACAGCTTTTAAGAGAGAACTGCATAGGTATCTGGGGAAGACGGGTTTGCAGGGTTATGGAGAGAAAGCTGGTGAGTCGAATTCAAGATCCTCATCCTCACCTACAAGGCCATTCACGGCCTCGCTCCCTCCTACCTCTCCGACCTACTATCCCCCTACCTACCTGCCCGTACCCTCCGTTCCTCTGGCTCTGGTCTGCTCCACATCCCCCGCCCCAACCGCCCTACCATCGGTGGTCGGGCCTTCAGCCTCTCAGCCCCGAGGCTCTGGAACTCCATCCCCCAGTACCTTCGCCGCTTCCTCCCTTTCCTCCTTCAATGCCGGTCTCAAAACCTTTCTCTTGACCGA